TGTCTATCACGCTCATCTTCCGCATGAAGGTCTTTCCAGGAAACAATGCAAGTTGCATACAATGAAGAAATCGTGGCTCCACATGCGCCAGAAGAAGTCACCAAACGCACCAAGTGCTCTGAAGATTTGTGTCAAAACACAAACACCGAAAGCAACTCCCAAAAAGGGAATCATGGAAATGAATGGAAGTGATTTTTGGAATTCCAACATAACATAGGGGGTGTGTGTGTGTCAGAATATGCACCCAGCCTCCAGCCACTGCATGTGGTAGCTATCTATGTTTCCTCTTCCCATGTTCTTCACAGTTCGTCTGTTTTCTGTTTCCAAGACGCGAAAACCGCAGTTGACGCTCTCCACATCACTGGGGATCTGGCCCAACACATGAGCATGGGCCAAATGGCCGTGGCTCACAGCAGCAGCTGCACGTGACAAAATCACCTTAGCACCATCGCGCATCTGTTTGGGCAGGACCATGCAACTGGAAGTGGAACTCCCTCCCCTCCGAAGCACTTCCAGTGTCCCCTTATTGTGAACAATCCCGTTTTCAATTGGCGCTGCAAAAAAAACTCCCATTCAGCAAAGTCCATGCAAAAACAGAAGAATCAATCCATGTGGCAATTCCACCACCATCGGCGTTTGTAGTGCCATTGGCACCCTCGGCGTAGGGTCGGCATACCTGGAACCCAAGCTGCACCAACCAACGGCCGTCTGTAGCTATAGGCAGCTGTTCAATTCCCAAACAGGTTAGTGAAACCTGATGCACCTGCTTCTTCAAAGTGACCTTTTTGGAGCCCCTAAGTGCCCTTTTGAGGCCCAAGTGACCTCAAACTGGGATATCAAAAGGCCTCTTTGAAGAATCAGGTCCAAAGATCCTGTCTCAATTCTTCAGCCATCTTCAGCTCAAGCTGCTCCATCTGGTGCCCAAATCAATCCATCCACAGCCGCAATAGGCGCATCTGGAGAGAATGATGCGCCACCGCAAAGCGCATAGTCCTGAGATCATCTACAGCCATCGTCATTCTTCAACGCGAAATGGAGCATGCACCACAACCGTTATCCCGTGGCCCTCCCAGTCAATGTTGACTTTTTGGTGAATGGACCCCTTGCTGCCTGGATGGTTATATAAACACATCATAAATTATGTGCTTTGTGAACCATCAACAGCCAACAGCAACTCCGGGGCTCCAGGTGCTTCAAACATCTTCAAGCCAAGGAACGCAGTGTCCCGCCTTCAGGAGTTGGACCTCGCCCCGCGTAACGGTCACAACGGTCGGAACGCTTGCGCAGGCGACGGAACCGCCGAGGTCCAGGCGGCGCGCGAAATGGCCACGAGTGCTGAACTGCACGCGGTTTGCACCACCTGTGGGCTTCAAGCAAGCTTCGTTTGGACGTTGGGGAGAGGTGGAAATCTCATGCTGATGAAGTCGAGACTTCATGAAGCAGGGCCCTGCCTCAGCTGTCCCATGCAAATCGAAACGGTAGGCAATGCTCGAGGCCAAATAGTCCTTGTCGGTGCCAACCTCGCCAAGCTTGAGCAGCTAAAGGACCAAATCATGGCAGATCCTTCGTGTTGTTAGCGGATCAAGACCCAAAGCCGGACCTCCCAATTGAAGTACTCATCTGGACGCATGGTGCGAGATTCCTCCAGGTCCACGAGCTGCAAGGGCCAGTGATTCAGAGAGCCTCACGGCAAAACACTCCCCCGCTTCGCAGTCGAAGCGGTTGGAAGTCTCACAGCTCGCGCCTCCACACACGATCACGGCTGCATTCCTTTCTGGAAGATCTATACCTGGGTGCAACATGGACCACCAGACTAGGCCTGTGGGTCCTTTGCATCCCCGAGACTCGCTCCTCCTTTGCATCTCCCCCAACACCGGGCTCGGGGTGCCCACATCGGGATCCCAAGAAAGAACCCCGGCAGACCTCAAGACCTCGCTACACACACTCACACGAAAAAATGTACTGTACAGTAATCATCGGAATCCCTATGAAATTCCCCAACCTCGCAGTTGTCCATCACGAAGCTGTGCCGAGAAGTTGGAGCCATGGAAAGCCTCATAGGAGATCTCCAAGAGCGCACGCTGTGCGGTGTCCATCATGGCCTCGCGATGAAACACACCATGCGGTGTTCATAACCGACGAAGCGAGAAAAATAACATGTTCATAACATGTAATACATGTTCCAGCCAATAACAAAAATTCTAAGACACCCAGATGCGATAAACCTGAATAGACCGTCCAATCCAAACGAGTCTCTGTGACACCGTAATTCTTCCTTCTGCCCAGTCGCCGCTGCTTGCTCCGTACACTTCCAAAAGTGACAGTCAAAGCCCAAGTCCGGCACCACGCCTGAAAACACCACTCCAACGCCGAAACTTCACACCGAGGTCTCGGCGAACTCGCGGCGTTCCGCGCTGAACGTCTCGTACCGGACCGCGTTTTTGCGGGTCACGCATGCCGGGCATCGCATGACCCACGCGGTACGAGCGGTTTGTGCGGCGGTTGGAGCCGGGCCTTTGCGTGGAATCTGCCCAGGCAGCGCCGGCAGCTCTGTCGTCATGAGGTGACCAGCCTACGCGGTCACCGGCGGGTCCGCAGAAGCAGTGAAACGGGGCGTGAATTGGGGCAGGGTGTTCGGAGGTGATCTTGAAAGTCATGCAACTCTGTCACTGTCTGCCGGGGTTCATTTGATGAATATTCTTCAAAGGACCATATTATCCCCCACATGCCTGCAATGAGTCCAGAAACTGCTCCGTTGAGGTTGCATGCGGCAGGCGGCACGCCAAACCAACCATTGCCAATGGGCCTAAAGAGTGGCACGGTCGTTTTCAACCGTTGACTCCTCTGCGGAATGCAGCGATATTCAAACAACAAGTTGGACAAGATGACATCAAACGGTACCGACTTCACCATTGTACCTCTCACCTTTGCACAGCTTCGTCGAAAAGTCTTCGCCATCAGTTCTACTTGCCAAGACTCCGCTCGATGCCTGCGGCACCCGTGGCAAACTGATGACACCACTGGCAACCTGCTTCACCGCCACCTGCAAGTGACTCGGATCATCCAGCATTCGTCCACATACCCGCGGTTCAGGGTCGTTTTTTATGCGCGCGGTGGCTGAAGCCACCTCGGAGGGCTCGAGCGACTTGGCCAGGGAGGCGATTGTGGGAAATTTGAAGAGCTCCACAGGCGAAATCCCCAGGAGCTTGGCAATCCTGCACATGAAATCACTGATGATTGATGCGGAACAGGCCAACTTAGTAATTTAGCACGCTGGCTGATGCTGAATGGTCCTCATTGCAAACAAGGAGTGGCCTCCAGCCTTCCCGGCCGTGCACGTGGTTCGACCGACGCGAATCGATGCCGACGATGCCAGCAACCATCCCGCCTCGACGAAGGGCATCTCTCGGTGGATGTCCCGACCAAGCACCTGACCAAAGACACGAGACAGAGGTGGAAAACTGTGAAATGAAATCTGGAGTCGGAGTCACAAGCGTTTCACTACTCACTGAGTCTACTTCACTGCGTCCTCCAAAGTACTTCCTTTCTTGGCTGGGCGATTCCATGTCACTGACCTCTTTGTAGGCAGCAGCCACGCGATGCTCTTCCTCGCCATAGTACTCCATGACCTAACAACATCACGAGACGATCGTCGACAGATCGTCCCAACGGCACCGAGGAAGGACGGACCATCTAACGGGTCAAATGGAGATCCTGGACACCCAAAAAGGATGGTCCTGGAAGTTTCACTATGGTTCACTGATTCTTGACAGAGCTCCCTTCTTGCACAAGCTTACTCATCGACTCGTACCTCATCGTTCTGCTGCGAACGTTTCTCCAAGATCTGCCTCGTCAACACCAGAAAGTCAACAGTCAACATCCTGACCCTCCTCTCACGCAAATTCCACGAGACACCCTGAAAATCGAAGGTGAAAAGAGTGTTGTTGTGAAGCGTCCAGGGCACGTGATGGCTGCGATGTCTTTCTTGCCAGACTTCGTCATTGGCAAGGCATCGACCTGGAACATGTCAAGTCAACTGACAGCCCACAACGACTCAAACAAAACGTTAAGATGTGGCCAATGCATATGACTCAAGAGTACTCAAGTGCTTTCCAGGAGACGGAAATCCAAACCTGAGTATATTCCGTATATAGGAAACGAGCTTGCAAATGCTGTGACACTTTGAAGATGCGGTTGCGAAAAGCGTCAATGAATTCAAGACATTTTTCGCTCAGGAGCAAGAAGATGTGAATGTTCGTAGTTCTCCTGCGGTGAGCATGATGCTGTCAGCTGTCGAAACCGACTTCCTTGAGTAGATTCATCACTCATGAGTAAACAGCAGCTCAAGTGGTCTACCCTTTGCATGGAGCCGCAAGTAAGCGTAGTGCCCGTCCTTGGCAAAAGTCTTAACGGTCTCCAGGTCAAGAGTGGAGATCACGGCATACAAGCTCTCCTCAAACTTTCTGACGCAGATTGCCTGGGTGCCGCATTTGTGGAAGAAGACCCCAATTTCCCCATCGAATCCATCGAAGTCTATCAAGGAGTTGGACAGACTGTAGCACCCAAGCCACAATTCCACGTCTCTAAAAGAAACAAGAAACCCTTGTTACGAGTAGCTACAGGCTACTAGTAGCAAATTAGCTATTCATAGCGATGCACTTGTTACTAGAAAGTTCAGCTTTTGGAAAACAAATAGAGATGTTTGGGTTGTGAGCATGAGCAATCTATGCCGAGAAGCTTTAATTCCAGGTGCCTTCATCAATAAAGACTCCAAACCATCTGTGTCTACACGAAATCCACGAATCTTCACGACCTCAGAATCAGTTCTCACGCCTTCGTTGTGGAGTCTTAAAACCTCTTGGTTTGAAACATCTTGAAACATGTTCTGTTTTTCTTACTTTCTCTCGTTTTGAACAAATATCTGCAGTGCGTTCAGTTCGGATTACTTGTCGAGTCGTCACAGCCCGGCCTTGTCGAGTCTGCCCAGAATGAAAATGTGCCCATCTCTGATTTGGGCTCTGTCACCTCAGAGAAAAAGATGCGATGGATGTCTCGACGTCCACCCATCTCTGAAGAACTGGATGTGAACTGAGTTTGAGAAGAAACACGTACAAAGCCTCATCCAGTTCACTGAACTTAGCACAAACAAAAAAGGGGATATAGGGAGGGAAAGCAAAAAAAAAGAAGAGAACGCTTTGTGGCAAGTGGCCAGTTCGGTAGCTGTTGCTCAGACCATCCGCGTTCCTTCTGAATGCAGAAGACCTGAAAGCCCACCGAGTGTTCATTTCTGCTGACGTTCTTGGCTTCGCTGAGAAAGGGACGCCGTTGGGGGCAGGTAAGCATCCGCAACATTCCATCCAGAAACCACGAGCTCCTGTAACATGTGAGTGAAAATAAAAAGGCAAAAAAAGTGAGGGAAGCACGTTCTGTAAAGAACAAGCTATTTCTGCTTTTGCATCTGGAAGAACCCATACATGCGACTCACACAACTCATGGAGGCACTGCCAGGCCTCGTTCTCAACGGTCATCTGGTTGTTCCAACAAACAATTTGGGTGCTCAAGGGAGCAAAGGGCATCTCTAAACCTGAACAGGCAAAAGGACGCATGACAACATGCCGAAGGTAGAGAATGAAAAAAAGGTCAAAGAACTCAAAACAGAATGTCCAAAACCTGTCACATGCCAAAAAACTTGCAATCTCCTCTGTGATTGGGAGGAATGCCATATCAGCAGCCTAAGACCGGCCACGATGGGTAACCGCATGTAAAGTAGCCCCTGTCAAACGAAACAATCAGCCTTGCTGTTATTGTGACAAAGAATAGACTGCTAGTAATTGAACTCCTCACAGTCGATGATCGTAACAAACAGCAGAAAGAACCTGTTTCAAAGGCAGAAAATATGCAGCAGAACACGGTGTTATAGTGTTCTTTGCCTCTACATGTCCATTGAGAAGTGTGTTGTGGCTCTTGTGCTTCCAAATTGCTGTCTCCGTGGTCGCATAATTCAAGATCAATCTGACCTGATTGCCAAAGCTGAAGTCCCAGGTTCTCCCTACAAGACAGTAAGCAAAGGGTCCCTTTGCACTCTGCTGGCGAAGTTCTTGAACTGAAAAACAGCCCCAACAACTGGACGAACGCTGCAAAGACGACAAACGAAAACCCCGAAGACCCCAATTGACACGAAAACGGACTGAAGAAAAAGGAGCACGACAGACAAGCTGCGCGAGGCCACTTTTGCAGCCAGCTTCGAGCGGTTGCCAGGGGCAAGGCCTCGCCACCTACAAAGACTTCCTGGGCTTCGAGTGTTCTGGCCTTTTCTTCAAACGCCCATGGTCTTGAAGGGAATAGATGTGAATAATCAATTAGTAATTAGTCGTCCAGGGAGTTCAGCCCATCCCATGTCTTTTTTGGGGGTCAAAACATGTTTTGACACATTGGTTCTTATGTGGAAACCACGACTCACGTCAATTCACTGAACACCCAACGGCTGCTCACTCCTGCAAGTCCTTGGGCAAGTGATCCTCCACGCAAAGTAGTGCAGAGAGTTGTCCAGGCGTCAAACAGTTGCAGCGTGTCACCCTGCACGGCTTGCGCGTTCACGTGTGTTTTCTTGAAGCTAAGCACACGACGCATATCGACAAGTTTCGATCAATCACGAGTGTGGAATGGCAGGAACCGAAGCAATGCCATTATACACAAAAACAATAGCATGGAAATGCACAGCGGCCCAATCAAAAGCAAAATATAGAAGAAAACAGTACCGACTTACAGCCAAAGAAAGCTGCTCTGTGCCAAAAATTCACATGTTTTGCGAAGCCCAACCTATGTTTTGCGAAGTAGTGCATTAGCTGGCTGATATCTTGGCTCTGCCAATTGGGCCACACAACACATGTGCTACCCGTTGACAGTGGGATTTGCCAGTACCAAATCCTTGGATTTGGAAAGCTGCATGAGGTTGTTTGGAGGCACGATCACAACCGTGCTACTGACTCCTTCATGCTAAGTGAGGATCCAAAATAGATTGTAGGCATCTCCTTGGTCACTCACTTTGTGTCAGGAAGTGAAGAATCCTCTGATAGCGTCTCAACCAGGACCCAGTCTGGATTCAACAACAGGGCCAAGAGACGTGCTTCCCCTGGTGGAAAATGAAAGCAGTGCCATCTTGCCCAGTGGGCAATGCCTTGGGATAAAGGACATCATTGAATCATCAGCAACCTCTCCGATGACAAATGGTTTGCGGAAGCCCAGTGCAACTGAGTCATCTTACATGTTGAAGGCAGAGTTCTTAGTGCTTTCTACTAGGCTCAGTTCTCAGGTAGCCTCCGCGGGTGCCGCCTTGCTACTTGAAACAAAGAGCCTTCACTATTCAGGGCCGACCCGCAGGACCGGACCCGACTGGCCACGGCCGAGCGACGCCATTGAAGAGTGGCCACGGACTTGGGCGCACCGGTGGAACCAGAGGTATACTCGATGAAGGCCACATCATTCAGATCGCCTGAGGTGTCACACTCGATGGGTGTCGCCACTGTTTAGGATGACCGATCGATGGATCGACAAAAGCTTGGAAGAAGCAAGTGGTGGCCCAAAGCAAGCGCCCGCTTTGGGTCAAATGCCGATCAAGCAAGAAAACATCTGCAACTCATCGTCCAATGGTTGGCAAGCTGCCGTCCATATGCAAGCTGTTTGATGGTTGTGACCAATCCAGCTGCATCCTTGAAGCACTGAACGACCCTACAAAGCGAAACAATGGATATGGAAATGGTGTGGAACCCAAATATCCAAGCGGCTCGTCTATGTTGAAAACACGCAAGTCCTCCGAAAAGCAAAGGAGACAGAGAAAGAGGACTCACTCTCTACTCATTGATGTTCCTGGAATCTTGATCTTGACTCTCAGATTCTCAGATCCTGCAGCCTTTGGTACAAACTCTATGGTCGAGAATCGATCTTCTATTCAAAAGTATCATCGTCAAACAATGTCTCGAAACTGCGCGTGTCACTGCGTGTGAACATGACAGAGGTCACGTTGGCAAAGATGTCACACTGTGCAAACACGATGTGCATGTGGACAAGCCGACCCAGTCTTGCATCACATGTTTAATGAGTTTAATGATAGAATGATCTGACACCCTGGCAAAGCCAACAGGTTCGTCTCTGAGAACATCAAGGGTTGCGGGGTTCAGACAGAAAATTCACCCGTCCTCTGTAACAGTCAAGTCCTGACCTCGGCAAAGCCAATCAAAATTGCACCCGGGGCCCTCTCGTTGACAGTGCCATAACATGAGAATGCTTGTCCAAGTCGCCACGTGCAGTGACAATGGCCTGACTTGGACATGCTTGAAGACGAAATCGTTGCCCTGAGGCACCCCGATCCTGAGTTGTGTTGGTGCGCTCAGCCAAAACAGATTCTTAGAATAGCCCAAACAAAAGTCGTAGTTGAAAGTTGAAACCAAGAATGACGATGGCATTCATTCAAACCACATGTCTTTTGATTGAAAAATTGTGAGAGGCTGTGACTTGGTGCTATATCCCAAAAAAATCTAGCCCTTTGCATCCTGGGTCTGCTTCGCATTTTTCTCTTACCTTTCCTTCGCCCTTTCCAATATTGACCGTGTTACAACGAACAGCTAGCGGGTTCGCTTCCGCTCGCCAACAAATATGTCGGTCTCCCAGTTCATGGCCAGGTACCAAGAGATGTATGGTGAAACGGCCCGATAGCAGTGCTAGAAAGCAAATTGCAGAAAAGTCTGATGCATCCAGTCTTACAGCCACCGGTCCTCCAGCCACGAAAAGCTGTGTTTCATCTCTGAAAACGAAGCAACACACGAACCACGTCTTGCATCTGCTGACTTGAGCACAAGGAGCCATATATATATATATCTTATCCGGTCATTCTTGCATGCTCGCGATGAATGGGCTCAACAGGTCAATGGCATCAATTGGCTTCAAAATGGCCGAACTGCGCCTTGGATCGGTCCCATTCAACAAACAAAAGGTACGTGGATGAGGAGGATCAGGATGACGGTGGTGCTTACTAGGGCCAGCAGTAGTGGAACCAAAAACAAACAATCCGAAGACCAGACTTGCCAAAAAGCAATTCTGCCAAAGCATTTGGACCTTGTTGCCTCCAAAAAAAGAACGTATGATTCGTAGCTCCCAGGTCCTCTGCTCGGACAAAGGCCCTCTTCTCGAAGGCGATCCCGAAAGCTACAAGCTGCAGAGCACATTTGCTGATAAGTCCATTCTCTGTCCTCTGAAAACGAACAGGTGGTGATGACATGACGATGACGATGATGATGATGATCATGAGGAAAACACAGGCCGCACATGTCTGAAAAAAAGAAAAGAAGTCCGGTATCTAGGTACTGGCGTGAGGGACCCTTCGTCGCCGCAGCAGGCCACACATGTTCCAGTTGTGCTAGTGCCACCTCTTTTTGAAACACATTAATACTGAATTCCATTGGGCCACTCGAAGCCCCATGTGAGATCCATGGGTCAGCCACTATCCCAGTGCTGAAAGCATCAACTTCAGAAACTTTGTCTTGGTCAAGCTTAACGCTCCTCATAGATGAGGGCCAACTTTTCAGGCCTTCTTCTGCATTGCCTGAAGGCCAAACGCCACCCGAACCACCAACGCTGCTCAAACAGAGCGCACCTGAGGATCATCTCCTGAATAGTGGCGACATGCCTGCGCCAATCTCAGCACTTCACCCAGAACAGGGTGAAAGCACAGTTTTAGATCCTCAAATTTAAGGCCAATCTCGCTCAATGAAGAGGATGCCTTGCTCACGTCTTCCCGCCTGGAGCACACGGCTGCAAGGAGGGGCTCCCATGCGAGAGCCAAATCCTCCGCCAGCTGGGGCAAAACCTGGGCCGGTGAAGGTTCCCGAGTCCCGGCCTCAAACTTCCGGCGGTTTGGGTCGACATGGAAGGTCCAAGGAAGGTTCAGGAACTTCCACTCTCCGTTCCACCCTGAAAGTCTGCAAATCCTCTCACAGCGACCCAATCCTGACAGATGAAGACAAGTTATAGAAATGTTATAGATACATCTGACTGAACCCAAATGACTGACTTGGCAGCTCAAGACCGGAATCAAAAGCATCTCATATACAAACAGGATCGAACGGCTGTTTCCCGTACATGAAAATCTCTCTACCCCGCCCACTCTCGTCGCCCCCTCCCCGTGCACCTCGCAGTTCGGCAGCTCGGCACCCTCCACGGAGCGATCGACGAAGCATCCCAGCGGAGCGAAGCGCGACGAAAGCCTCTGCACCTCGCGAAGCGCGCGCGGGGCATGTTCGCGAAGCGCGCGGGCGCCTGCGTTTGGTGCGACACGCGACGGGTTCGAAGTGACGCGACGTGAGGCGGATAGAAAGAAGTCGACGGGCATGGATTTCGCCAAGGGACATTGTGGCGAAGGACTTTGGGAACAGATCGTGATGGGAGCTGGTTTGGAACTTCATGATGGATGGTGTATGGTGACTGTAAAAAGGTTCTTGCACTGCCCATGGCATACGACCTACGACCATGCGACTTGGATTCAAGAACACCTTCTCATGGTGAATGCCTTCAAGTGTGAACCTGCTCCTGGAAATTCTGTTGGCTGCGCAAAAGATTACTTTACTTTTCCTATACAGCAAAGACCGCCAAAGGCTAGGGAGCTGGCTTCCTCCACCCGTCCGCACAGGTAAACCTGAGAAAGAACTTCTTCACTGATGTTTGCAAAAATCCTATTTTTCATTGATATGCCAATGCTTAATTCATGGATTGTCTATGATTGTCTTACAAAAAGATGAAACTGCATCAGCAAAATCCGCGGACCCCTGGCCATCAGCTGGGTGCGGAGCATTTTCAAGGCCATCTGGACAGGCATCAGCTGCTGCAATTCGCACGGGCCAGTCTCGCCCTTGGCCACTCGTCAGTCTCACCCGATGCACTCTGCTGCCAAAGGACACAGCGAGACGATGGGATTGGACGAGCTGCTTAAGGCCCAATTTGGCAAGGACGGACAAAGAATGCACACATCCTGAAACCAAACCATCGCAGGGTTCTGGCAAAACTCGAGCAAGCAGACAAGCTCTAGATGCCTCCGACCCTCCCGGGCCAAGTCCTCCAATGCAACGCTGCTGCTGGTAAATCTGGCGTGAAAGTAGACGGAAAAGCAAATGTCAACATGAAGGAATCAGAAGGAATCAGCAGAAACCCTAAAAAATTAAAAATAATCAATCCCTTGGGGATCCCATGTTGTTGACAAGCGTGAAGGACCCCTTTATTTCACACAGTTGCGTCGAGGCTGTGAACATAAACAACGCTTGACAAAGACGGCCTGCCAGCAGCTTGCATTGGCAAAATTGATGCGACAAGTGTCTTGTCCGTCAAACAAGAAAAAGAATGTTGAATGTTTTCAGGTGTGCTTTCAAACGGTGTGAAGCAGTTGAAAGGGGATTGTGTGCACCTCAAGTCTAAGTCTAGGGAATCGTCTTAAGGCACTTTTAGAATGTCTTTGTTCTGGGTTGCTGCTTTTGGCATGTCCAAACCCTAAGGCATCCGGTATCTTACCAAACATTTCGCAAAGGAGTGCACTGCGGTGTAAGTAGTCCGAAGTCATCTATGTTTGGAGGCAGTACTGGCTGCGGCATCTATGTCTAGACTGAACAAACACAAGAATCATATGATATAAGTTACTAGTAACTAGTACTGAAGCATCCTTGCAAGAATGAACCACAATTGGAAGGCTTTTTCGCTCGTTTGCATGTCTAGTCACACTCAGGCCACGCCATCCTTTCATTGAAAGGACCTCCATCGCCCGAAGATGGCGCAGCAGGGTATCAAGTAGCTGCACCATAATCTCACCGCTACTGTGAACAAATGTCCTGTACACAAACAAGATCAAACAAGTACATTCTTCAAATGCAGGAACGGCCAGCTGAGCATGCCGAAAGGAGCTCTCGAACACAAAAGCCATGTCAATCTCTTTTGGATTGCTTGAAGTCATTGCCCCTTCAAGCGCCAACGCTGTGCCTTGAAATGGAACCCAAAGCTGGTGGGGTAAGTCAAATTTACAAACCCCAAACGTCGCCACATCTTCTGTATGGCGTGCTACGCTGCTACACAGGTTTTGACGGAAGCTGGCTTCGCTACGCCGGGGTTCCGTTCGACGTTGATCCTCTCTCAAGCTTGCGAGAATTGGAATTCATGTGTGGCAGCTCCAAAACATGCAGAAACAGCTTGAGAGAGAACTCAGATTCCTTCATTCCCTTCCGTAGAGAACGCTTGGAGCCTTATAAGCCAACCTTCCGCGATAAATCTTTTACTCCTCAGTTGGGCGTTGCTCGAAGCTCAGAATATAGAAGGCTCAAGTGCCAGCGACACCTCCTCTGCAGCCCTTGCTATTCCTAAATGAGCCCAACTCCTCCACTCAGTGACAGAAACGCCCACCAATCCCCACCGGTCGACCCCCACATGTCTTGCCTTCAAAAAAGTGAAGGAGGTTGACGTGGCCCTCCTTTCAGACATCCCAAGCTCTTTTCAGCTGAAAACTCCCGCAGATGTCCGGACCCCTCTAAAAACCCACGGAAACGTGCGCAGCTGCTCGCGCGTGTGCTCACCAGGCGGCACCAGGGGCCGAAGCTGGGGTTTCGAGGCCTTGCTGCTCTGGTCTCCGTGACCCGTTCGCCCTGAGCCTTGGGGCGAACGGACGAAAGCTCGGCGTCCGAACGGAGCGACTCCTTGTGAGTGTCTACTGATTCGGTTCGAATTGATCCTAGTAGCGTTCTTGCTCCTAGTAGTGATGCCAGGAGCCCCTAGTAGCTTCTTGTTACTAGTAGTAAGGCCAGGAGCCCCTAGTAGCGATCTGGAGAAAAAAGAATGTATTTGGGGTTGAATTTCAGTGTTTGGGTCAAACCATGTTGCCGCAAGCACTCTTCCCCACAAGCAGCTGCTTCTTTAGGAACAAGCACAGGAAATATTTTACTCCATGTACAGCTAGCTCCTTTTTACGGGTTCGCTGGGAAGCGCAACAAAACATTTCCTACTTGTGCTCGGTCTCACCGCGCCTTCAATGCACTTTGTGCTGCTGCAAGCCTCGCGATTGGGACTCTGTAGGGTGAGCAGCTCACATAGTTCAAGCCTGTCCTCACGATGAGTTCAGCCAGTCATAAGTGATGATTTTTTGCAAAGTGATGAATAGCAAGTCAAAAGGGTCCATGGAGTCACTAGCAAGTTATAAACCAGACGTCCTCTGGCAGAAATCAATGGAGGTGGGATCGCCACCATGTTCACCACAAATGCCCATCTTCATGTCAGGCCTGCATTTTGAGGGCGGGAACTGCGGATCTCAGCGGCTTTGAGCAGCTGAAAGAGGTTTTGGCTCTTAATCCTGGCTCGCTCCTTGCTATGTCTCACACAACAAACAAGAGGGTTGGACACTTTTACACAAAACCGTAAGGGTTGCGAGTTGCTCGTCGTGCCTGGTGCTCAAACCACGATTCATGGCAACTTTGATGAGTTCGCCCACCCCTTCCTCGTCGAGAGTCACAAAGGGATCCTGTGCCATGATGCCCTTAGCCTCAGTACTGACTACAAAGCAACGGGCATGCAGCAGAAACCCTATGGCTACAACAAAACTACAGTGGAAATCATGCATTTCACTGTACAATATGACTATCTCACTTCGTCCTGTTTCATACACTTTCGAGATCAGTTTGCCTTGTAGTCCGACATGAAGGTGCCCGTATCATCTCTGCTAAGGCCGTAGGTGGTCTGCGTCAAGTCATTGGTACCAAAACTGAAGAACTCGGCTTCCTCTGCCAGTTTGCCCTCAGGATCCAAGATCAGGGACCAACAGAGATCCGACAATTCTTCTGAACCTAATGCACCGATGTGAAGCACATCAAGAGAACGGCAAGTGCTTAGTACAATGCTACAGCTGTGGATTCACAAAAGCTCAGGGTGGGACAGCTTGAAGCGCCGCTCGCGGAAGTTCAATCATGGTACCAACACGGTAGGTAAAGTTGACATTCTCCTGACCGCAAAAGCACACTGAGTCACACGAGAATATGCGAATGTCCCTAGTAGCGTCCTTGCTCCTAGTAGTAAGGCCAGGAGCCCCTAGTAGCGTCCTTTCTCCTAGAGTAAATAGTTTTGAAAGAAATGGTTCAGCAATGGCTCCTCTTTCTGAACAGCTGCTGCAGTCTTGTCAATGATTCCCTTGATGATCTTAAACTCTTCCAACGTTGCCACCAGTGGCACCATGACTTCAGCCACCGGTGTCTTCTTGGAGGGCGAGGTGCGCCCCGCTTCCGCCGCCGCACCGAAGATGGCACGCGCCTGCATCTCGCAGATCTCCGGGTAGGTAATGGCCAAGCGGCAGCCCCGATGGCCCAACATCGGATTGAACTCCCGCAGCTCCGTCGCGCGGCGCCGCACGCGCTCCACCGGAACCCCGGCGGCCCGGGCCACGTAGGACAACTCCGCCTCGGTGTTGGGCAAGAACTCGTGCAAAGGTGGATCGAAGAGACGGATCGTTACCGGCTGGCCATCCATAATCTGGAAGAGTTCCGTGATGTCCTCTCTTTGCATAAACAAAAGGCGGTGCAGGGCATCCTTGCGATCCTTGGTATCTGAAGCCAAGATCATCTGCCTCATCGCTGTGATGCGCATCCCGGCAAAGAACCTCGAGATGATCTGCGTGGCTCCGAGGCTTCTCCAAAGTGCAACACCACAAAAGGATGAAAACAAAAGAACACGTAACGTGTGCTCCAGGTGACATGTGCTCCGTGCGAACCAGACCAATGCCTTCTGCGCCAAAGTCCTTGGCCAAAATCGCATCCGCCTTGGTCTCGGCATTCGCCCGCACCTGCATGGTGCGATACTCATCCGCCCAGCTCATCAAGGTCCGGAAGGCACCTGGAAGCACCGACCAGGACCGGGGCCCTGGTCAAGTCTGATTGGACCGGAGATAGGCCGGTGAAAGGGAGCACTTGTTCACGACGGAAATATAAAAGCAACCAAGTAGTTTGGATTTTTGCTTGTTAAGATGCCCAAGGCAAAAGGATAGAAACTTGATATGCTTTCATGATCTGTTTTGGCGTGCAAGGATTCCCTCCTTGCCACCTGCCGGTGACCGGGGATTGCCTGCAAGACAACAGCTCTCCGAAACGGACAAGAACAGGATGGGTGTCGGACATGATGGTATCCACGTCTATGAACTTGTCACCGTCTTTTAGCTCACTCGATGGGCACTGTTGGCATCTGCACTGGGCAAAGATGACACAAAGGAAATATGTATATTGCAAAATATACCTATATAGAGCTTGGGAACATAACAAAAGAGAATGGGAGAACTCCTTGGGGTATATGGAATTGCCGGCTACACCACACCCAAGTCTTTTCAAGTCTGACACTGGAAATACTGAAAAACTACCCATCCTGCCCCATTCCCTGCCTGTGACCTTTGGAAGAACTGTGGGAACCTCTCCAAGTAGCACTTCTCCAGTGCTTCCATCGATGGAGAGCTTGTCACCTTTCTCCAGGACGAGATCACCGATCTTCAACTTGCCGGCAGCCTCATCAATTTCCAGGTGTCCTCACGAGATTTAGAGTCGCGACTAGGAGACCTCGTTTCTGCCTCAGCTCTGGACCTTTTAAGCTCTACTGACCAAGAAAGTTCAGAACACCTTCTTTCGCAAAATAGGAATCTGAACCCATAGTGAGTCTGAAGGAGTTTGATACAGTTTGATACGATTGTGATATTGCTGATTTGAATCTGTGAATCCCTGCATTTTCACTTGATGTGATCATAGGTGTGACATACACCACTTAGCACCAACAAACGCTGTTCATGGCTCAAGAAAAGCATCGTCCGTTTTTGGAAACTCAGGTTATGAGCCCAACGACCTGTTTTTCCCTTTGAAGTCCACCCCTGTGGATCAGGGTCGTTGGCCGCCATGAGCGACTTCGTGCGGCAGCGGCGGAGACGATCCTCCCGTGAAGGAGAACGTCTCCATGATCCTGGAGATCGGGAGGGTCGGCTTCGAGTGGGGGCGGCGGATGAGCGCCTGCAAGCGCTGCTGGAGGAGCAAGAAGGCAGAGCGGCATCGGTGCCGGCGAGGACGGCAGCGGTTAGAAGGCTGGCTGCAGCTCCGGAGCAGGGTGGGCAAGCAACAACTACATCCTCGGTGAGAAGGCCGAGCAGAGAACCACAAGTTCAGGTGGCTCAGCCCAATGGGCCAGGACAAGTCACGGCTGAGTCAGCACCGGGACTGCTGGACTCGGTCAGGCAGTCCTTAGATGTTTTGCAGCGAGCCTTTGGTGGAAATTCTCAAGGTCAAGGGCTACTTGCACCCCTACTTCAACACCACGATCTGGGACATCTAGCCGGTACCGGTCCTGGAGTTCATGCTGGGCATGGGAGTGTCTTTGGATCGCCACAGTGTCCAATTCCACCCCGAGGAGGACCTTTGAGCTATGGCCCCACGAGTGAATTGGGACCACAACCGAGGGTTCTGGAACCTTATCCCATGGCTACCCCTCCCCCAATGAGTGGGGTGAATGTCAACCCTTTTTGGAGCACACAAGCACGAGCTCATCCTGGTGAAAGTGGGGTGGTGCCTGAAGGGATGCCGCAAGGGGAAGTCAGAAGGTCGCCAAACTATGTTGATGTGGAGGCCATCAGGGAGAAGGTCCTCAGGGAGGCCGAGAATCTCTTTGCGAAGGAGATCAAGAAGGCCACTGGTGGAGCAGAGTCATCATCCTTCGAGTCGGTTCCAAGTGCTGACCGAGAGCCTGGGCGGTCAACGGTCGGGGTGATGGGACCGGGCGGAGGAGGCAATGGGGGCGAATCGACTCGTGGCGATGGTCGAGGGTCTCAATCACATGGTCTTGAGCGTCCACCAGGGTTGCTGAAAGAGGGTGTGTGTGAGGGTCCGTTGAACAGGTCTGAACCGCCTCAGGGGACCGTGAATGAAGTGTTTAGAAGCTTGGAGTTACCACCTCTACCATCTCCTGGCAGCGATGGTGCTTCGCTGGCTTTCGGCGATTGGCTGACGGTGGCGATGCCTCTCATGTCAGATCTGTCATCCTCTGCGAGGGGGTGGTGGCAAGCAAACATCATGGAGGCGGAGGCGCTGTATGAGACTTGGCTGAAGTTGAAGCCGCTGGAGAGGCTAAGGCTTAAGGTTGATCGGCCTTTGCACCCCAGTTATGGGCGAGTTGAGCACCGGGGAGTGACTATCCTATTGGGGGTTCTTCCCGATCAAGTTCGAAGGGATGTCATCGCCTCTAGAAAGGTGAGCTGCCTCGGAATTCTGTTTCGGCTGTACACCATTTTTCAACCAGGGGGTTCAGCTGAGAGAACTGCGCTCCTCAAGAGCATCACCGAGCTGAAGGTGGGCAATGGGGTGACAGACGTTTTGTCTGGAATTCGCCAATGGAGGCGATGGATCCAGCGTGCACAGGAGTTGGGCCTGACTACACCGGACCCTCTGGTGCTGGTGCAAGTGCTGAACAGGGTCACAGAAGCCCTGGGTCGACATGGTGGTGCTCAGGTCTCATTCAGAATGGCAACAGCAAGGCAAGATCTTGCAGTGGATCAGTGTCCGACGATGGAATCCATCATGGAGTATGCGGAGTATGTGCAGGCGGAGGCTGAGGATCTGGCGCTGATGACTGGCTCTTCAAAGACGCCTGCAGCAGGTGCGAATGTGAACATGTCCACAGCTGGAGGGACAGCTCCAAAAGTGGCGGCATTCAACACCACGAGCTCAACAGAAGAGAAGCAAAAGGCCTCTTGCAAGTTCTGGGGGTCTGCTCAGGGCTGCAGGAGGGGGGATCAGTGCACCTATGGGCATTCGTGGGAAGGCATCAACAAGCAGAATCGGTGTTTTGTTTGCAGCGGTGAAGGGCACATGTCGCGAGAGTGTCCCACTCGACGTGAACGAGATCAAAAGGATTCAAAGAAGGTGGCAAAGGTGAAGAATCCTATGCCCACCAAGGAGTTGCCAGTGAGTGACCTGGAAGCTCCAGATAAGCTGAAGGAGGAGAACGCCACTACGACTTCTTCCCAACAGACTTCGGGGTCCTTGAAGAGCACACAGGTGTCAAGGAGTCGGGAGGGGAAGAAGGTTGCAGGTGGTGGAGAAGCTTCGACGGGGAGTGCAGAGTCGGCGACGGCATTGATAGCAGAAGCTACAAGTTTGCTCAAATCATTGAGAGCGCTCAAGGCTTGCAGGCTGAGGCAGATTTGCAGGATACAGCCTGATGCCGAGAGGGAGGGCGAAGTGGCCTTGTTGGATGGAGGTGCAACTCATCCACTGAGGATGGCGGAGGTCGGGGAGAAGAACCACCTTATTCCGGTTCAGGTGGAGCTCGCTCATGGGTCGACCACGCTGTTTCGAAAGGAGGGATGCAGCACATTGCTGTCTTTGGACGAGGTTGAGCCGATCATTCCATTGAGCTTGTTGGTACAACATGGCTTTCGGATTGACTGGTCGGCGAATGGATGCACAATCAACCATCCTCGGCAAGGGCCGATACTATGTTGGCTCCGGGGGGGTTGTCCAGTGATGAAAAGGACTGCAGCTCTTGCGATGCTCAAGGAGTTTGAGGAGCTGGAAAGGGGGCACTACAGCATCACGGCCGAGGACGCTCAGTGGTGGGAGGAGAACATCCCTGGGGTCCCGGGGGAGCTGTTGGAGTTCATGAAGGGCCAGTCATGGTGTCCGGCGGGAGATGATCTTCCATGGAACCGGAGGCAGAGGAGAATGCATCAGACTTCAAAGGGAATCATTGTGCACCTGTTCTCCGGCACCAATGTGAAGAGGTGGAAGGACTCGCTGCCCTCTGGGTACACCTGGCTGTTCGTGGACCCGCTCCTTGGGTCGAGGTATGATCTCCACTCGCCTCAAGTGTGGGGATATTTGTGCTGGTTGGCCAAGCAGGGCCGAATCAAGGCAGTTTTGGGAGGTCCTCCATGCAGAACAGTCAGCAGGTTGCGGAATCGTGGGCCACCGGGACCTCGCAAAGTCAGAGCAAGAGGTGATCTGAGGTGGGGGTTGGAGGATCTAACTCCTAAGGAGGCTCAGATGGTCGCGAACGACACCACGCTGGTTCTCAAGCAGGTTGCACTTTGGAAGCTGGCCAAACAGGGACAGCAGATGGGCCGATTGACAGGCTTCTTGCTGGAGTCGCCAAGGGATCCAGCATCCTATTTGGAGTCGGAGGAGGATCGGCAGAATCCATCCTATTTTGAGTGGCCTCAACTGCAACAGCTGTTGGAGGAAGATGAGACTATGAGGATGATCAACTTCGACCAGGGAGCGACAGGTCATCCACGGAGGAAGCCGACGGGGGTGTTGTCGAACTTGCCCATGCTGGAGCAGCTGGAACTATGCCAAGGAGGAGGAAACACCAACCCAGTCGGAGGGGATTTGAGCCAGAGGATGGCAGCATCGAGAAGCTGGTCAGAATGGTCACCGGGCTTTGTTAAGGCTATCCAGCTGGCATTGAGGAGTATGCTTGAGGAGGATGAGAACTGCAAGGTGGCGCGATTGGATGTGGACCAATGGCGGCGACATGTGCGGATGCAGCACACGCCCTTCAGGCGGGACTGCAGAACCTGTCTGGAAGCAATGGGCACGCAAAATCCACATCGGAGATCCAGGACAGCGTCTTCTGCATACACCTTGGCGGTGGACATCATTGGACCATTCCCAGTGGGGAAAGATCCTGCAACTGGAAGAATGGCCAAGTACGCTTTGTTGGGAACGGTGCCGCTGCCGGTGCCGGACCATCTGCCGGGGGAACCGGCCGAAGAAGAGGATCTCACTGAGGAGCAGGTGAGGGACGTGCCTTCTTTGGATCAAGAGGACCTCGAGGAGGAAGACCTAGAACGTGATGGCCGTCAAGATCCACCAGAGTTAGAAGATCAGCAGTTGGTTGAGGAGGGTGAGGAGCAGGTGATTGGTCGTGAAGAGATCGATGAGCTTCGGAGGCCCCATCAGCTGCAGAACATTACAATGGTGGAGGTGATGGAAGACAGAGGTGTGGATTCGCTCCTGGGAGGCTTGTCCCGACTTTATGCAAGGTTCAGGTGTCTGGGCATCAATGCGATGAGACTGCATAGCGACAGGGAGAAGGGCATGCTGTCGAGGAGGGTGTCTAATTGGTGCGGCCACAGACACCTGGTACAGACCTTCACGCAGGGCGACGATCCACAGGCCAATGGCCGTGCAGGGGCAGAAGTGCAACAAGTTAAGAGACGCATGAGGCTGATCATCCATCAGGCACAGGTGGAACCAGAACTGTGGCCAGGAGCGATTCGCCATGCGGCAGAGGAGAGATGCAGACAGCAGCTCAGCAGACTAGGTGTTCCGGTGCAACCAATGCTACGGTTTGGGTCGAAGGTGGCAGTTCGCACGAAGAGATGGCATAAGGCTGGTCAGTTGGTCAACCCGTTCATCTCCATGCAGCTGGTTGGTCCAAGCCCACTGATGACAAGCGGTTGGGTGGTTCGCCATCAAGGTCGTGTTCAACACGTTCGAACGGCTCTACAGCCATCTCCAGAGGCGGACCAAGCGGCTCTCGAGCTCCAGGAGATTGATGCAGACATCGTTCGCAGGAGAGTGACTGGAAAACAAAGTTTGGATCCTCACCCATTGCAGGACGTGATCTCACACATGTATGAGGAGGTGCAGCCTGCACAACAACCAGCCCTGTCCGCGTTGTCCAACTTCAGGACAGGGGGGGGGACAGATCTAGATCCAGGAGCATGCCTGCAGGTCGAAAACAACGGGAGCTGTGGAGAGTCGGCAGAAGGTATGGTGAAGTGCCACGAGTGCGATCTTTGGCAACTGGGGGAACATCGAGGAGCTGGATGTCGATTTTGTGAAGGAGATCTGCCGAAGGAGCAGGATGGGCTGCAGGTTCCGGGGGAGGAAGCTTTGGATTTGCAAGCCTGTTCATGGACTCAGGCAGTACAGTGGCGTGAGGAAGAAGTTCGTAGCCACTGGCAGTTGAAAAGAATGTGGCTGGATCAGTTGAATCAGGTGGCGGTGGGTGCACAGCAGGGCAGTGAACATGGAGGATGGCTTCAAGTTCTGGAAGAACAGTTGATGGTCCGGGAGGAGTGTCTTCAACGCCAACATGGAGCCCTGGAGAGTTGGAGGATGGCGGCACTGCAGGCGGCGGGGGGTTCAGGAGAAGGAGAAGAGCAGAAGCCTTCGCTGGTCCTTCAGACCTACACGGTGTCGCTGGCCCAAGTGCGAAGGGAGTTGCACAAGTGGGTCGAACCCTTCAAGGATGAGTATGTCTCTCTGTCCACTACTACTGGAGCGATCTTTCCAACCACAGAGGAGGCTTTGAAGAAGGATCCGAGATATCCCTGGCGGGAAGAAGCGCCAGCGATGCTGGTCCCTACGGTCAAGAGTCCTCATGGACGGCACAGGGCAAGGGTGGTCATTTGTGGCAACCATCTCACAAAGTCCCAGGTGGAGACGAAGGCTGTCAGTCCATTGGAAGCATCATCGACCTCCTCACCCTTTGAACTATATGCAGGAGGGGCGGATGCGACAGTTTTGCGAGCTTTACTCAGGAAGAGTGCTCTGGAGAAATGGTCCGTAGCGAGTCTGGACGTGAAGACAGCGTTCTTGCTAGCTCCAAGAAGAGATGCACAGCAGAGGCTGCTCATTACGCGTCCTCCTCGGGCGCTGGTGGAAGCAAAGGTGTGCGATGCTGACGAAATCTGGGAGGTCAAAAACTCGCTCTACGGTCTCCAGGAGGCGCCTCTCAACTGGGCGAGATTCAGGGACGAAGAGATGGCCAAGTTCCGCTGGACTGATGAAGGTGAAAACTGGAAGCTGGCTCGCACTCAAGAGCCCAACTTGTGGAAGGTGATCCTCGATGATCCATCCAAGTCAAGGTTGCCCGACAAGGTGTACGGATTTGTCGCTGTGTACGTCGATGATATCCTGGTGACTGGTGATGAAAGAGTGACTCGATCGACCATCGCTCGGTTCCAGCAACAGTGGAGATGCTCGACACCGGAGTGGCTGACGCCTGAAAGCAGCTTGAGGTTTTGTGGCTTTGAGATTGCCCAGGAGAAGAGGGGACTTCGTTTGCATCAGGAGTCATACCTACGAGATCTTTTGGCCAGATATCCTGATGTCAAGTCAGCTCAAAGCCCGCTGCCAGGTGTCTTGGATGAGACTGAGGAGACGAATCCTGAGGTTGCAGAGGTCCGAAGGGCGCAAACCTTGGTTGGAGAGTTGTTGTGGCTGGCAGTGAGGTCGAGGCCAGACATCTCCTTCGCCGTGTCGTGGATGGGGAGGCAGGTGACACATTGTCCATGTCGAGTCCAACGATATGGAGCGCAGGTCCTGGGGTTCTTGCAAAGCACCATGGGTTTGGGCCTGTTGTATGAAGCTGCACCTGATGAACCCCAGTGGGAAGAGAGCAAGGGCATTCACATGTATTCGGATGCTTCATTCGGCCCCCCTGGATCTCGCGGTCACCAAGGCCTTATAGCCATGTACTCAGGTGCTCCTATACAGTGGGAAAGCAAACAGCAGCCCTTTGGCACCCTATCTAGCTCAGAAGCAGAGCTCATGGGGTATTCTGATGCCTTAACCATGGGTGAGTCGTGCGCCTCAATCGTTGCGATTTTGGAAAGTGGTGATGCGAATGAGGTCATGGACTGCGTCCTACATGGTGACTCGCAGTCTGGCATCCGCATTTTGCAGTCGCCGGATGGCCCATGGCGGACGAGACATCTCAGGCTGCGAAGCTTCGTGTTGCGGGAGAGAATCCGCACGGGATGCTGGCAGGCACGTCACGAGCCGGGAGCATCGTTGTCGGTGGACCTATTGACAAAGTCCATCGTCAGTCCGCCTTCGTGGAGGAGGTTCCGGGAGTTCACTGGCTTGTGTGCTGGAGCAACCCAGGCGAAGGAAGCGGAGGACTGTGCGCAGGTCAAGAGGCTGATCGGGCTTCTGAGCGGGCTGATAGGCATTTCATGTTGGCAGCCAGTTGATGCGGTTGCCAAGGTCGCCAAAAGTGTGACCATTGCAGCGGTAGCTTCAAGTGTAGCTTGGCTGATGGGTAGGAAGGGTGGAGATGACCCCAAAAAAGAGGGTGAACCGGCATTTGCTCGGACAGGGGCGTCCAAAGAGGGCAGTGTCGAAAGAAGAAAATGTCAAGAAGAGACAAGGGAAAATGAACCTGTCTCCAACTCCGGTCGCGACTTTAGCCCAAAGGGCTCCCCGGGCGGTGCATCTGCGTGCGAGCCATGGATTCGGCAGCTTCCGCGGGTGAGTGCTTTGAGGGCACCAATCACCCATGTGGGACTTGGCACGGATCTTCCATGGGAGCTGATGAGGTTTAGTACGCCGCCTACTGGAACAGACAGGTGGGAATGTCTTGGTGTGGGCCTCGGTGGTGGTGAATGGTGGGTCAGGGTGCTGAAGAAGTTCCGAGTGCGAACCTTCCATCCATTGCATCGTGGAACCCCAATGTCGATAGCAAGACTCTCGGCGACCAGAGTCACGGTGGCTTTTTCGCGGGGAAATCCGCGAGAAGTTTGGAAGCGAGTGGTCATCACCGATGACTGGATCGAGAACAGGGGCTCAGATGTGGAAGGGCTTCATGAATGGTGTGGCTACACTTTCTTCTACGTGAAGTTTGAGGCCCTCCCAGAAGGAAGAGCAGGAAATCTCGACCGACGTGATGTCAGGCCGGGACCACTTCCCCCACCGGGATCGGTGGCCGCAGACGGGGGCTATGGTGGCTCCATTCCAGGAAGGTCAAGAGCAGTGCAACGAGGTCGAGAGGCCTTACAAGGTTCAGAGACGATAGAAGGCGAGGAAGTCACCTACGGTGGAAGGGGCATCAGTGCTTGTGACATTGAGTCCATCGAGGGTGGCACGAAGACGGGCTATGAGCTAAGGCTCCAAGGACGTGAGCATCGGGGGGAGAGCGGAAACAACTCCGGCCAGGTGACGGAAGGGACGTCCCAAGCGGCCAATTCAAGCGAACACTTCCCTCCCGAAGCTGACCAATGGCCAATTTGGCTTGGAATTGAGACGGCAGTTCAACAACATCCTCACCGTGATGGTGAACGACAAGATGAGGACTGTGAGTCGGACGGAAGCTTTGAATTTCTGCGCAGCACTGGATGAAAAAACCTAGTGCCGACGCATGTTTGAATGATGGTACAACCATCAGGGGGAGTGTGAATCCCTGCATTTTCACTTGATGTGATCATAGGTGTGACATACACCACTTAGCACCAACAAACGCTGTTCATGGCTCAAGAAAAGCATCGTCCGTTTTTGGAAACTCAGAATCAAAGAAACCACCTCAAGTTCTGCTCGAACTGTCCTGCACCTGCCACACAGGGCCGGCCCATGCTACGAGCCACCACCGCGGCATGGCTCGTCATGCCCCCGCGGGTTGTCAGAACGCCTCGGGTCGTCAGAACGCATCCAAAAGCACTCACTCATTTACTAATTAAAAAACAGTTTGCACCTGGAACTTCAGGGTTCGCAGTGCCACCCCCCGTGAGTCAGCAGTGCCGCATGAGCACGATGGTGGACGGGGACCTTCCTTCGAGGTTTGTCGATGCAGACATGGAAACCGGTCTCCGACCTGCCTTTGCAAAGCAGCTGCCGTTGGTGATCGAGGTGGTAACCGACTCTAGCCTGTCCTTTGTGAGTTCACACCCCGACACTGAAACAAGGAAACATGACATGGTGATGAATGATGGCGTCTGTCATGTCATTTACTTCTGTCACCAGTTGTTAAATCTTTACGAGATCAGCACCATGATCACTGACCACTGGAAGCGAGTTCACACTTGCAAAGCTTGTGTTCCGACGCACAGGAGGTATCGTGTTGTATCACCTGCTCGTACAGCTGCTTGCGAGAGCTATTTCTTCGCGTCATGTTGTACAGTACGGAGTGGTGGCGTAAGTATTTCATATCCATACGAGCCATAGATGTTGGTCTTTGGGATGAACTCTTACACATTGCGGCATGTGTCCATAGGTTCTAAATTCAGATCCTTCCTAAGCATAGGCTGCATAGGTGTGTAATCGCACTACTGTCTTTTTTAAAGCAAAACATGCTAGCGATGCAAAAACTGCAAAACTCATCAACCAGATTGCACGGGACAAAGCAACATGCATTCCACACATCTCTGAGTTGCATTCTATGATGTGGTTACACAGTTAGCATTTGACATGTTTCTGCGCCTTCAGCTGCATGCAATCCATGGATGTCGTCCGGGCTTGTCTCGTTGCGAACGAGAATGACCTTCTCCCCGTCGCTCACACGCTGAACTGCCTCGTCAAAAAAGCAGCCCTTCCGACAGAAAAAAGACAGAAGAAAGGTTGTCGGTTTGTCAGTGCCTTTCTCAGCTTGGTTCGATTGAATTTGGTTCGTCAGTTTGTCTTGGGACATTTGTGGAACCAAAGAAACTTCAAGCAGTGCTACTCTTCCTGTCCATGCGTCATGCGTTGTTGAAACTTCCCAACCCCCCCCTCTTCGCAGCAAAAAAACTTCCTCTTCGCACCTCATCCGCACAAAAGACCACTTTTCCAATGGCTGCCCCCGGTGAAGCAGGAAGTCCCTGGCGACGAAGGACTGAGTGTCTTCAGACAAAGCTGCCCCCAGTCGACTGTTGTGCGTGGCTGGTGCGCAGTCTGCCACTGGCGGACTCCCTTCAAAAATCGGAAGACGAGCCAACAGTTTGAGAACCAAAAGCAGAGGGGCCAACCTGGATTTCCATGCCTGCCTTGGCAATGATCTGCTTCTTGGCATTTTCAGCAATGGTTGGATGGAGTAGCTGGTCAATCTGTGAAGGATGCAAGCGCATCACAGCCTGCTGCTTCGTAATGAGGCCTGTGACAGAGACAGAAAAAGCAGTGACGAACAACTTGTGTATCAGGATCTAGTAAGTCTATGAATTATTGTGGAAGCCTTTTCAGCTTTACCAAAGCAAACACCTGCGCAAGCCTTCTCAGGCATTCAGTAATCTTTGCAAATCTGCTATATAATGATTATGTCATAATCTTGGCGCGAACACACCTTTGGGCAGGCCAAAAATGACTAACAATAGGATTTGCAAAAAAAATGCCACTATTGAGTCCGTGGAACCTTTGCACGAAGACTTCGACACCGTGCCTTCGTTGGTCATATCGACCGCAATCTGGATCGCGGCTTGCGTGGTGCGTTTTCCCGAACGTGTCTGCAGCATGTAGAGCTTACCTTTCTGGATGGTGAATTCGATGTCCTGCACATCTTTGTAGTGCTTCTCAAGCTGGTCCCTGATTGCCATGAGCTCCCGAAAGACCTTCGGCATCTTCTCTTCCAGCGAGGGCGAGTTGTTTCCATGCGCCATTCGGGCCTGCATGGTAAGCTCTGAGGGCGTTCGGATACCAGCAACCACGTCCTCCCCTTGCGCATTCAGCAAGAACTCACCATAGAAATGGTTGTCACCATTGGAGGGATTCCGGGTAAAGGCAACTCCACTGGCCGAATCATGGCCCATGTTGCCAAAGACCATGGCTTGGACATTGGCGGCTGTCCCACCTTCTTCTGGAATGTCATGGAGTTCTCGGTACGTCTTGGCACGGGGATTCGTCCAACTCTTGAAGACGGCGCCGATGGCACCCCAGAGTTGCACCTGTGGATCCGTGGGGAACTCCTCGCCCAACTCCACGAAGACGCGCGTCTTGTAATCGCGCACCAAGCGTTCCAAGTCTTCCACTTGAAGCTCATGGTCCTACGAGGCGAGCGGCTCACAGACACACGGAGCGCAATAAAAACAGAAGGACATGTTGTTTCTCTCAAGTTCTGGCAAAACCCACAAAGGAAGAACTGCAAAGGAGGGCATTTGAGCGACCGGCAAAATGAAAATGAAAAAATGATCGTTTCTACTGAGGCTTCGTTTTTGGTCTTCCGGCTTCGTTTTTCAAGGAATTGCACCAATTACGCTAGTATGCTCTGTTTGTTCACCAGGTGAGTTATATTACCACTAGACCCTTACAATGTTCACCAGGTGAGTTATATTGCCACTTGACCTTTACAATGTGAAGTACAGCAAATGAACTTCTTTAATAACCTACCAGTACAGCAAAGGAACTTCTTACAGTACGGGGCATTTGGGGCAGGGTCTACAAAGGACACTGTTTCGTGGAGTGGCTTCGTTTTGGCATCGTTTGGAGACACCACATTTCATGCACTCCAAGAGGATACACATGCAAACATCCCACCAAGAGGCTTCGTTTTTGGTTTTCCGGCTTCGCTTTCCAAAGAATGTGCAAGATTCTGCAAGATCCCACCAAAAATTATCAATTTTATACAAAACCTAGTCGCTAGGATTTTGACTGTGGCTCATTTGAAGAACTTTGCCGGTTTGCTCTCCTTTACTTTGCTTCACTCCAAAGCTTCCCGCTTGCTATCTGGTTTGCCTCTGGTCCAACAGAACAGTTGGCGGTCTCTTGACCCAACCCTTGGGCGCTTCACACCCAAACCCGAGAAAACTTTGTGCAAGCCAACAGCTTTGCTCATGTTTCCGCACGTGTCCAGGCACTTCAGTTCTTTTTGGCCCAAGCCATCGCCAAAAAAAGGAAGGTTTCGCCAAAAAGCCGCTGGTAGGGAGCAGGAACCTTTGGCTAGGTGGTCACTGTGGCGGGCTGCAACAAACACGGAAACACCGGTTTCACCTCTTCACCCGTCCTGCTTCACTCCTCGCTTCTGTTTGGCACGCTGCAACATCTTTTCAAAGTGACATGCGTCCACGCCCAGCACGATATCGGCATACATCTGGATAAAGCGCCGATAGCTGTCGAAGGCAAAACGACGATCATCAGACTGCTCCGCTAGTGCCTAACAACAGCAGGTTGCGACGTTGAACATCAGAATGTCTGAGAGTCTGAAAAACGGAATCACAACTTCCCCTGACGTTGACTGTTCAAGTTCTTTGAGAGGCCATGTTGAAACACACAAGGGACCCAGCGGAATGCAGGACGAGAAGACATGCCTCAACAGTCTTGGCATTGAGTCCGACATTCAGGACCGTGTCCATCATCCCAGGCATTCTTGCACGGGCTCCAGAACGCACTGAGACCAGGAGCGGGTTCTCCGAATCTCCAAATTTGCAACCGGCCCGCGACCTAAAATCGAGGCGAATGCTGACCCAGGACCCTTTTGGAAACGCAAACTCACCAAGCTCTGGACTCTAGAATTTGCAAGGCCTTCTGCACCTGCTCCTTTAAATCTTGAGGATATGAACCCGTCTGCTCGAAGTGGGAGCAAACCTGGCAATCCCATTCAAAAATTTATCTACGTTTTCTGTCTCTTTCGTGTTCAAGATCCTCTTCTGCCTTCAGCAACAAAGTGGTCCAAAACACCACACGATCACGCCACTTGTGGGCAACGGTAACATCTTCGCCGCACCTCGGTGGTCAACGTGAAGCCTGGAGGCACCGGCAAACCGATGGAGGCCATCTCCGCCAAGTTGGCGCCCTTATTGCCAAGCAAATCCTTGATCTCCGCATGGCCTTCCGCTTCACCTGCGGCATCTTTGAACATCAAACATCCAAAGGACTTATTTTGGGCTCACATCTGTCATGGATCCATGGATCACTGCGCATGGCACGGCCATTCTTGAAAAAAAAGTGCCCCCGCCTGCGCCAAAGTTGTAGACCCACTTGGTCATGGCTGTGAGGACGGTTCGCCCGTTTGGTAAAAAGACTCTGCGGACATCGACCCCGTTGGAATCTTCAGAACGTGTGATGGTGTGTCGTTTTGCACGCCGCAAGTTGTTCCGCTGTGGGGTTGACCTTGCATGGCTTGGCAAATCTAGTCAAAAAATCAAACCTAGCTCCTGACAACCCCTTTATTTTTGTCTTTGTTCCAACTTGTTGCTTGTCCTCTTTTCCGGCTCCACGAAATGCCGATAAAGAAAAATGACACTCATGATTCCCCAACCACCTGTGCCGTGTACCCTCTGTTGCGGCGTTTCCTGCTGGTTTTTTGTCTGTCAAAAATCCTCAACTAAACCACCGAGTTGTACGTGACAGAAACAAACCTTGGAGCTATACGGCAAACACTTCAGTCAAAGTGCCAACAAAAAGTTGGAGCCTCGGCAAACTCAGCAAGCGTTGGCAAGACCCCTCGGTACAAAGTGTTGGTGAAACGTTCTACAAACTGAGTGTTGTACGGATCCAACTTGTGCAGACAGTTTGGACAAACATGTTCGATATTCAAAATTTGGAAGTACATAGCCAGTCACGAATGCAAACAAAGTGCATGTTCTATATTTAGAAAATTTGAACAAAAAAAGGCGATCCTATATCCTTGTTGTTTTTGGTTGGGTATGGGTGTGAAGCAGGCTCGAGCTACAGCAAAAACTTAAACATTGGAACAAACGACCGTTTGAAAACATCCTGGCCCTGTATTCTTGACGCGGATGCGGATCCTGCATAACCTGAGGCCAGTGGGGGTACTGTTGGGCGGGCTTTGTTGCCCTGATGCAAGAGCAGTGCGATATTGAGCACGGCGACAGCCTCCAAAGAAGGAGTTTGGGGTGGCATCCTGTTGGGGAGCTCACGTTTTGATCCGAAGGCGCTCACGGTACGAGTGATAAAAACTGATACTACACACATCTATGCACATGCCAGTAAACTAGAAAAAAACAAAACACGCCGCCTTAAAGTTCTGGCGTTCAAACCAAATTTTACATTCTTTCTATCCAGACATTGCTCTCTGCTAAGCAACCATGGGATTTTGTCCGTCTGGACTTCCCGAGCTATACATTTGTATAGGTACTTCCGGCATGTTTCATGCCATTCGGACTAAAGTTCAAAAACAAATGATTGAGCATCCAACATTTCGTGTTGTGATATGTGTTTCCTGGTTCAGCTGGAGCAGGAAAACACATCCATGCATCCATGGTAGATTGCTGGTTCAGTTCAGTTGGTTCAGCAACTCCACCCATATTGAAATTCAATTTTGTAAATTTGTAAGTTGTTCATTCCACAATGCTCAATTTCCTGTAGCTCCGCTTGGTCTCTCCTCTTCCACCACTACGTCACTGTCTGATTCTGACGGAAAGTGGTGCAAACCCATCCACATCTCTGGATCAAAAATTTTATCCATTGTACTGTTGAGGTATCTTGCAACCTTAATGTCTCACTCTCAGCGCTAGATTCACCTCCTTCATCACCAGCATGGTCTCGGTCAGACTTTGCAATGGTTTGTCGCAGCCAAAAGGTCTTCTCTGTTTCGGGTTCCCTCTTCCTCATCTCTCTCATGATGTTTTTTTTTTTCCTCGTGGCACAAATCTGGCCACCAGCTCATTCCAATTGTTGCAAAATTGCACAATCCAACAAGTATCAACACCACACCAATACCGTCAGTAAAACGGTTGCCGACTGTCCTGTTCAACAATCTCATTGGGTTCATGCTCCACGCAACCCTTCAAACTCATTGCCTGGATCATGCAATGCTTTCAACACTTTGGTGGAATTCCGTCTTGCCAGCATGAACGGACACAATGTGTTTCAATCGACCTGTGCCTGATCTTTGCAACTGGCGTCTGCTCGAAAAGTCACTTTGGTCTTCCAGCAAGATGTTTTTTTCAACAAAAGTCTGGTTTGACCCTAATGTCAACGAAAGCACTTCCGCTCACATGAACTTCGACTGATCGACTGTAACAAAATACCAGGTTGTTCAAAAGTTTGCAGCAGATGTGGTCGAATTTCTGCACAAGCTGCCAGCCCAGTCGCAGTCGCAAAAGATTTCCATGAATATTGTGTGTCTTGCAGATCATCTTGTGCCATCACACTGGTTCCAACGTGTGTGTGTGGCAACCAAAATGACATGTCCTTGCACTCTATCAACTGTTGTGGACATTGCCCCAATTGCTCTGTGGGGTTTCTCATTGAAGTTTTGATGGCGCCTTGACGTCTATCTTTGAAAAGTTGCAGCCGAGAGCTTCATCAGCACAAGATGTTTTTCACGAAGCTCTGGCTCAAGAGTAAAGAAGACAACAATTAAGGACTGATCACGGGTCTTTGACGCCCATGCAACCCTCGTCAGTGACTCCACGGCTGCATTCGCAACTGCCCTTGAACCACATGCGGCGAGGACCGCTCCCATTTGTCTGGTGGAACACCATGCGGAAAGGCAAGGCGCTTGCGTCTTGTCCTTGCTGGCCTGTCCTCTTGTATCGAGCTGACGGTGTTTTTTTTGCACGGGTGGAGACGCCATGTGTGCAGAGAATGGAGAGGTCATCTTGTGCTGCTTGAAGGTGAGTCATCGGCCAGGAGAAGAAAACCAATCCAACCAAAACAAAACACAAACCAAAAAAAACAAACAAACCAAACAACCTGGCCAAGACGCGACTCAAGTGGGTCATGCAGAGCAACACGAAAGAGGTGAAACAAGGGGTGTCAAATATAGCAAAACGGCCTCTCAGCAAAAGTTGTGCATGTCTCGACTGTTCAAAGGTCAGGCAACAGTCTTGCGGAGTGTTGGGGTGCCTTTGCGCACCTCGTGCGGCGCTTGCACCGGGGCTGGATGTCCAGCCTTCATCCATGTTTGCATCATTGCATTTCGGAGAGGCTTCGACAACCTTGCTGGGTCACCACTTGCGAGTGTGGGTGGTGGGCAGGCATGCATCGGAAAACCACTGAAGAAATCCAATTGTGCCAAAAAAGAAGGCTTGGAGCTTCCAACAGTGCTGCCTGCTGATGGTGACAGTTTCTTTTGTGCCAGCTTGTGTGAAGCCTAACTGTGTACACTTTGTACAAGGTTGGCAGGGTACGGACCCACCCCCAGGACAAGAGCTAAGGCACTCGCCTGGGATCCAACCATCTGTACATGCTGTCTATGCTCACTGCCGCAGGACAAGAACTAAGGTTCTTGCCTGGGACCAGATTGCAAGGCTTGGTACTTAGACATGGGCGCCTATTTGGGCTCTGAGTAGTGACAAAGCTGAGCCAACTCACTTTTCATTCGTATTGCAGAGTGACGCTCCGACTTAGTTCCTCGACTCCGGTTGGCTCGTCTGAGCTATGTGTCAAACACAGAGGCGATCCTTTTCTCGCCTCTTGGCTCACAAAAGCCGCTGCGGTATTGGGCTCGTTCATGTGCTATACATGTAGTGCAAACAGGTCATGAGTGTCTGCATGTAAGTCTGACACCCTGCCTTTTCGGGAAGTGTTCTAGCTTCTCGAAACTTCTGTAGGGCTTACTGCGAGTTCAGCTCTCAAACAGGCCTACAAATTCAACTGGCTTCATTGCGCTCAGTTCTTCTTCTCCTGGCTGTTGATTCCATCTGATCGAGATGAGGGTCTTCTTGTTCCTCTTCTCCATCACTCAAATGGATCACTGCCTGCTGTTCTCCGTCAGCTTGTCGTGAATCACCGCCTCTCGTGTCGTCAATCTCGATGACGTTGATGTCGTCCACGTCCACATACTCCATGGTCACATCGTTGTCGATTGCATCTGCTTCAGGTGGTAGATATCGAAGTAGTGCATTGTTGACATCTTGGTTGCCAAACTCTCCTCCTTCTCCTGAGGTGTGTTGTCTGATGAATTCCTGTCTTGCTGCTTCAGCTTCTTCTTTATCTGGATGTCCTGCTGCTGCTGCATCAGCTCCACGTTGGATTGCTTCTCGTTCAAGTCTTTGTAATCTCTTGGCGAACAAAATGCTTCGCCTGTAGCCTTCTGGTGTCTGGCAATCTTCAATTGCTGCTGTCATCTCATTTCTCAAAGTAAAGAGTCGAAAGTAAAGAGTCGTCCCATCATGTCACCATTGAGTACTCTTCCTCGTCGATTCATCGCTTCATCTAGGATCGTGTTGATGAAGTGGGAAAGTTCTCGTGCTGCAAGTGTCAGGTGCGTTTCCACTCCTTCTCCTATCAACAGTAGTTGCTCTCTGTCTGTACCAACTGAAAACTTCTGGTCTCGAAGGAACAATTCTCTCCAGCTCCTCGTTGTTTGTCTCCTCTGTTCCATCTGCTAGGATGTGTCCCAGCCTTTGCGAAGAATGCTCCAGCATCTCCCAATGCATGTTCTCAATGTCCACCATGTGGTTTCTTCTTGTTTGTTCTCTTTCTGCAATGCGATCTCCTTCTTGCTCCCAATCATGGTCTGCTTGTTCACTGCTTGACCGTGTCAACTCTTCTGGTCCACTGTCATGGTCTTCTCCTCCGTGTCCATGACGTCCTTGTCCGAGATCAGGGGGATCTGGTAGTCGTCGTTGAACTCGTCGAACTTCTCCTCCAGGATGTGGTAGATCTTCTCCGTGATGTGGTCGAACTTCTCCGGGATGTGGTCGGACTTCTCCACGATGTGGTTGTTCATCTTCTTCTCCATGATGTCCAAAGAATGAAGTCACCGTTCTGAAAACATGTTGTAGATCTCGTTGTTCTTCTTGATGTACTCGGTCATCTTCTCCATCAGGGTTTGCTGCTCCATGTGATGCTTCATGGTGTACTCGGCGTCGAGGTCCTTCATCTCCTTCTTCTGTGTCACCATGTCCTTCTCCCTGACTTTGACCAGTCTGTGTGAAAACATCGAATCTTGTGCCTGTACCTGGCTGCATCAAGGTGTCTTCTGGGCTAGGCTCTTCTGGTTCTTCAGGAACTGCTTCTTCTCGCTGTTGTTGCTCTTGGATCGTGGCCTCATAGGTTCTCTCTCCACTGTTTCCTCTGAATGGTAGTGGAAAGATCTGTGCTAGGCCTCCTT